ATAGAATTCTCATTCTTTGGATTGAAACCAAGCAAGCAAAGATACTAGACCTCTTGAGAGAATCAAACTTCAAGTATATTAAGTCTTCACAAAAATTGGGCAGAGTAACGGCTGTATACAGGTGAATTCCAGATTATAAACAAAGTATGTAATCATAATAACCTGCACACAAAACAAACAAACAAATGAGTTGTAGCTCAGTCGATTTGAAGAAAACCCGAAGAAAAAAGTTGAATAGGGATTTGAAAATTCATGATTAAAACTCACTTCCAGTTAAAAACAAATGATGCAATGAGTATCAGAGTGATAAGAGCTTCATTGTAGTAACAAATTTTGAGAGAATTGATAGAGAAATCTACCTATTGAAGTTCAAATTTAGAGCTCTGAAACTTAACTTGGCTAGCAGGATTTAAGACACTTCAAGGCTTGGTTCTTCTCCTGTTAGCTTCAGTGAAGTTCAAGGATGAAGAATTAGAAAAGAAAATGGATTGACAAAGGTTGTAGGACCAAATTTGAAGTTACATAATTATGAGTTATAGAGAGAGTTTGGCAGGGTGATTTTGGTTGTCCAAGCTTGCGAAAATGAGTTGAATGGGGTATGTATTTATAGGAGAAGTGAATGCAATGCTGAGAGAGGGTAAATGTTAAGCAATCAAGTGAAACCGTGCACACCCTGATCATGACAAAAGTGTGACTTGCAAGTTGTCAAAACTCAATCATTTATTGTGTTTTAATCCTTAATCTGACCTTAGCAACTTTCTTAAACATGTTTAAGTGGAAAACACACACAAAATTGGTGTTTAGAAGCCACATTATGAAAATCAAAATTTGATTGTTTTAACAAAATCAATTTCAAAACTTTGAATCCATGGTGCACATAGCTCGAGGGGCTTTATGATCTCTTTTTTTTTTTGCAATGGAAACATTTCACCACAAACTTCACAATGTGACAAGAAAGGTAGAATTTGGATGCTTGAGTAAAAGTTATGATCAATTGAAATCGTGAAAAACACATTTAATTGTGGACTTATAAAAATTTCAAGTTTTGAGTTCAAAAGTGACTTATAATCCCTTGCCTTCAAACATGGTCTTCCACTCAAAATTATATTTTGGTCAATGAAGATGACATGAAGTAGACTTCTTAAAGATAATTTTGAAACTTGAATCACTCAAAAACACCAAAAACTGAGAGAGTTGTGACCTTGTGAAGTTGATGGAAATCCATGAAGTGACCTATAATCTTTTGAACTCTTAAGGCATCTTCTAACCATTTTCAAGCTTTGAACATAAAATCAGAGTTGAAGCTTACATCCTTAAGATCATTATGGAAAATTAATGGGCTCAAGGAGATAAAAAATTACTAAGTTATGATCATTTGAAGTTAAACCCTAAAATTTGAAAACCTTTCAAGGAGACTTGTAATCTTTCTCAATCATTAATGATCTTCCATTAAAATTAGCCTTATAATTATGAAGAGAGCTTGTTAAGGACCCTTTAAAGAGAATCATGGCTTTGGAGTCACTCAAAAATCTAAAAAAATTGAGTAAGATATGGTTCTTGGAAGTCAACAAACCCTAGCTCAGAAACTGCCAAAAATGACTTGAAACCGCTTTCAACTTTTGATGATTTTTCTTGCACAATTGGATATTTTCATATGAATAGGGGTTGTTGTTGGTGGTGATGATAAGAATCCATATAAAAAAGAACCAACTCAAAATGTTGAAAATTGAGAGAGTTATGCACTTGTGATCACTAAATCAAGCATTTGCTCAATTAGGTCAAACTTGTTGAATCAAACTTTGAATATTTTGATCTTTCTTAACAAAACAAAGCATGATGAATCATAATAGATCTTGAAATGATATTGTCTTGTAGCACACTCAAACAATGGAGCTTAAGTCTCAATAAAGCTTGTTGAAGAAGACATGGAAATAAACACATGAACCTGTCTCTTTAGTGAATGTCAACACCAACTTTGAGGAAAGTTTGACCTAAATAAGGTGAGAGAATTCTTTGAACCACAAATCTTTGATATCATGGACATATCCTTGAAACTTGAGCTCTTGCAATCCATTGAAGAGTCATTTGATTGAGAACCAACCCTCAAACCCTAGGTTAGATGGTGAGATGAATGCAATTGTATCACTTAAAGAAACATATATAGAAATTTTGATGTTAGTTTAAAGAAAAAATGTACAAGATACACACTTCAAAGTGCTTGGTGATCCCTCAAGAGCAAACTTAAAGATAAGATGAAGATAGGGAGAACCAACCCTAATGTGTGATCTTGTTGTATTGATAAAAGTGAGATGATGAGAAATCTTAGGGGGGGAAATTGGGGTATAACACAAGGTATTACAAAATATAAATCAATAAAAATGTGTACAAATGATGTTTCTAAAAAAACTATATCACAACAGTGATGTGTACACAAGATTAAAGCACAAGAGAGAGCTAGTAAAGATATTTCTTTTTGTATACGCAATAGTGTCGTTTGATTCATCTTCTGTCTTCTTTATATAGAGGAAGTGAATTGAATCATTAGAGACGTAAGAAACTATCTTTGGAAGGTTGATAAAGTGTTATTAATGCATTTTCCAAAAATACAAATCTTGTCCTGTTCCAGCCGTTACTCTTTGATTTGTAACAAATGAATTGTAACACATCAGAACTTGCTTCTTTGGAATATGTTGAAGCTTCTTTGCACTTCCAGAAAATTTACTTATCAGAGTATAGCTTGAGCTTAAGTGTTGAGTCTTTTAGAACTTTAGTATAGATGAGTGCGTTGAGACTTCTTTTGTTCTTCCAGAACTTCACTTATTAGAGTATCATAATTTTTCTTGTAGCGTTGGTGCTTCAGAAGTTATAATATCAAAACTTCTTCTATAGAGTGTGTTATACGAATTTGCTTCTAAGTCTGTACGCTTCGTCTAATCAGTGCTTTAAGTCAAAATTCTCTCATCATCTTCTATGCTCATTTATCAGAACTTCTTTGCATATTTAAATACTTTATTAGAGAGCATATTTGTTCTTTATATATATATATATATATATATATATATATATATATATATATATATATATATATATATATATATATATATATATATATATATATATATATATATATATATATATATATATATATATATATATATATATATATATATATATATATATATATATATATATATATTATGTATTTGTTATCATCAAAATTATTACTAAGATGTAGAACCAAACTATGTTCTAACAGGATATATTATTTTATTGGCTATATATATGCTTGAAGACTCAAAGGAAAAGGTTTCTAATTCACATGTTCTCTCACAAGATTGTTCATAAGCGTTCCTTATTTTCTTAAGTCTATTTGTTCTTGAAATAATGTTTACTATCAGCTTGTGTAGAAGCAAATCTATTGTAAACAAATCTTTTTCAAAATGTTGTTTGATTGTGCCTTAAGGGACCCGTTGGTCAGAATCCTTAAGAAGTCTAAGATTAGTATGTCTTAGAGGTTGTATGTGAGTCACTTGCAATTATCTTGTGCATTGTAATAATATGTGTGATTATTGGATTAAGACCTTGTTTGATAGGGCGAAATCACCTTGGCGGGTGGACTAGACTAGCTTGATAATTTTCAAGTGACTTAGTATAAACATAATTTGTTCTCTCCTTGCATCATTAGCTTTATTATCAATAGTGAAGAAAACTTTTTTTAGTTAAAGGGGATTTTTTTTAAGAAAAGTTTTTATTTAAAACCCAATTCAAACTCCTCATTTCTTGTGTTTTTCACACCTTCACCAATGTGGAATTTCAAAGTGATTGATGTTTTCCTTGATCTGTGATTTCGGGGGAGAAGAGATTTTCAAAATAAACATATTTCAATAGTTTATAATTGATCATATATTAAATTTTAAGTTATTTATTTATTTTTCATGGAATGAATTGGAAACGTAGTGATTTAACGCTCATGAATTGAGTGGTCACAGAGTTTGAGTAATTTCAAAACCCTTTTACTTTGTTTGAACAAATGTTTTAATAATATCAGTCATGTCTCGAATGAAAATCTGGCGTGTTACAAAATTGTTATCTAATCATCCATATATTGTTATCATCAAAACTAAAGGCCAGATACATAACCAAATATGTTTCTTACAATCTCCCCATTTTTGAGGATGCAAAATCATGTATTTTAATAAATAATTTATACTAGGTTTAATCACATAAATCATTTCAGAGTTAGCTAAACATCTCCCCCTGAGTTTTGTACTCTCAGAACTTATTTAATTTGAGTCTCCCCTTAAGTTCAAGATTTAAAGAAGTTTGGAGATATAGCACGAATCAATCAGCAAGAAAGAATACTTCCCTGATTGAATTACCATCAAGAGTCTGGCTAGGAATGCAGAAATCTTTATCTGAGATTCTATCTTGATATCAGAACATGGTGAGGTGTATGCGCTATGTTGACCTTGTGTACCATAAGAGTCTGACTAGAATTGTCGAAATCTTCATCTCAGATTCTGGCTTGCTATCAGAACATAATGATGTATCATATCAGAGTTTGGTGAAGTCTCAGGGCATGGTTGTGAAAAACCAAAGCTAGATTATCAAGTAACATAACTTGATCCATCTTGTCACTTCATCAGAGTCTGGCTGAATTTCCTTTGAACAAGGGTCTGATAACCCATGACTTCTGAGTCTTTAGCTTCTAAATCTCCTTCAGAACTTCAGAACTTACCTGGTAAGAAAAATTCAGTGAACTTTCTCAAAGTTCCTGAGTCAAACAATGTTAGAGAAAATAATAAAAGACCATGTTTGTGAACGAATTCTGAGATAAGATATATATCAAAATCATATATTTTCTCCCCTTTTGTTAGAAATAAAAAAAAAAGATTTAAAGAGACAAACTAAACTTCCATTAACCAAAGACCAAGATACAAAAGTTTTTAGAAACAGAAGAAAAACACTTAAGTTCTAACACACAAAGGTAAAAAAATGGTCTAGGGGTTTGGTGGAGGAGGAGGAGGAGACAACCTTACTATGATTCCCTTCATTAAATGGGAGAGGTAAGAATGCTCTCCAATCCATTGGTCTTGCTTGTCAAGACGTTGTAGGATGATGATGTTTTTCATCTTCAACTCTTTTAAAGTTTCATTCAATCTAGGTGGCATCTTTGTAGCAACAATAATCTTCACAATCCCATAAGGAGTATCATCTTCAGCAGAAGACTTTTCAAATTCAACCATCTCAGAAGCAACAACTTCTGTTGGTTGTTCATCCATTGTAGAATCAGGTTCTTCTTCTAAAGTGACTACTTGCGGAGCAGGAAAACAACGAGGGATTGGAGGAGATACCTTAGCAGCAAGCATAACCTTATGCTTCTTCCTTGCTTCCTGATTACAGAAGACTTAAATGACATTGGAGTTAACCATCATCCACCTTCTAAAACCAGACCATATAACATTGGTTTGTTCAAGATCTACACTGTCAGAAGTGCTTTCTAGAGCATATCCTAGTGAGTCTAGAGCACTATACTCAAACTAATATAAGAATTCATCAAGGGATGTTAGAATAACATTTGTTCTATAAAGAAAATGATTAAAAGGGATGGAGTAGGGTTTAGGGGTTCTATCTAGGAAGGCATTGTTTTTAGGTTGTCTGAAAACATTGAAGAGGTTAAGGAAAACTGATGAAGAGGAATTCTTAGTTGACATAGAGTTTAAAAAAATTTGTGCAGTATCAGAATCTTCAGATACAATGATATTTGTATCCGAAACATGATGAGATGGGTTGAGAAGGGTTTCTGAATAAGTGTCTCAAGAAATGTTTGGTTTGGTGAGAGATGGTTAAGGCTCTAAAGTAGTAAATTTGAGTAGTAAATTATTAGAAACAGGAGTATCAACAATCGTTTTGACTTCTTTCACTAGCTTTAGAGACTTCTTCTCAAAAGATGAAGTATTTGATTTTTTTGCATGTCCAGAAGGATCATCATAAGAACTTTTCTTAGAGAGTTTCTTCTACATCATTATGACGGGAGAAGTAGATACAAAGATAATCACAATTTTAACCAAGAGAAGATGAATTTCAGGAAACCTTGCAAGGTTAAAGGCTGGAAAGTCTTTTAACATGAATTCTTCTACAAGAAATAAACTTTTCATTCAAGACATCAGGCAACTTAATCACTTTAGAGATTAGAGACATATCAAACAAATCTTCACCATTGAAAGATCTACCAACCATGATTATGTGATAACCAATTTAAAAATGAGAGTCATGACCAGTGGTTTTTACACAGGAATTTTGCATTTATTTTAGTCATCGTTCCTTTGAATTTACTGGTGTTTTATTCCCTTTTAAAACACTTTATGTTTTGGTTTGGTATTTTAGTGTTTTCAAGAATAAAAGAATGAAATAGGACAAATCGGTACTTTAGTTTGGTATTTTAGCTCATTGATGGTCCGTATTTATGAATTTTAAAACAAGAGTCACTTTCTAAACATAGTCTCTAATAAAATGGTGTTTGATTTTTACGTGTTTTGCTCTAGGGTGCAGAGTGGGATTCTTACTAAGATAAATAACGACAGTATTGTCACAAAAATAGGAATATTATTCTCGTATATCTGAAAGTCTTCAAGTTGACTTTTCATCTAGAGCATTTGAGTGTTACAAAGTGATGCTGAGATGTATTCTGCTTCTGCACTGGATAGTGCAATGGTTGATTGCCTTTTTTGCTCAACTAAGGGATAAGATTATTCCCCAGAAACTGGAAGTTTCCAGAAGTGCTCTTGCGTTCTATTTTATCTCCTGCATAATCTGCATCACAGAAACCTGATAGTTTGTATTCTAATGTTTTCTTATACATCAAGCCAAGGTTATATGTTCCCTTTAGATACTTTAGGATTCTCTTAACGACTGTTAAATGAGTTTTCCATTGGATCTGATTGAAAAAGAGCACAAAGACATATGCTGAATAAAATATCTGGACGAGAGGCAGTCAGATAAAGAAGAGATCCTATCATACCTCGATAGAGCTTCTGACAGACCTTAGCGCTTACCCCCTCCTTTTCAAGAATACATGTAGGATGCATATGAGTCTTAGCTGACTTGCTTTTTGTCATATCAAATTTCTTTAGAAGTTCTTTCGTGTATTTGTTTTGATGAATATATGTAGCTTCTGGAGTTTGATTGATTTGTATTCCCAGAAAGTATTCCAGTTCTTACATCAGACTCATTTTAAATCCAGCCTGTATTAGCTCAGAGAACTCTTGACAGATTGTCGGATTAGCAGACCCGAAAATGATGTCATCAACATAGATTTGGCATATCATGAGATCACTTCCAAAGTTTTTACAGAAAAGAGTAGTATCCATCTCGCCTCTAGAAAAACCATTTTCTAAAAGAACAGAACTTAATATTTCATACCATGCTTTGGGATCTTGCTTCAGACCATATAAAGATTTTTTAAGTTTGAAAATGTGTTCTAGAAACTTAGTATTTTCAAATCCTGGAGGTTGGCGCACATATACTTCTTCAGAAATGTATCCATTTAGAAATTCACTTTTGACATCCATTTGATATAAAACAGTATCATTATTAATAGCAAATGAAATTAGAAGACGAATAGATTCTAACCTGGCGACTGGAGCAAAGATTTCATTATAGTCAATACCTTCTTGTTGACTATAGCCTTGTGCAACCAGTCGTGCTTTGTTTCTGACGACTTCTCTTTTCTCATTCAACTTGTTTATGTAAACCCACTTAGTCCTAATAACATTAGTTCCTTCAGGTTTAGGTACTAGATAGCCCATTTTTTTACCCCTAATTTGTTTATTCATAACATCATATGCATTTACAGCATAAATCATTCATTCATTTGAGCCCTAAGACATGGGATCAAAGGGCTTTTGGCATTAGGGTTTTTCCCTATGGATTGAGGTTTCTACCTTACTCAAAGTTGATTCAACTGGTTCATTCATCACTCTTGGATTGTGGAACTAGGATTTTGGATCACAAGCGTCATGAATATCTTCACTGGCAAGATTTCTCAAGATACAAGGTTTTCTTCATCCGATTTTCTTCATTACAAGTTCATCATCATTTAGGGTTCCTCTTAATTTCTTACTCCACAAGTCAACCCTTCTCAAGATGCTTAGAGGATTGAATCAAGATCTTTTTTGTTGTGATACTGGTCAAGTGGTTAAAGTTTTACTTTGGGATTTTATCAAGTTAAGGCGTTCCTTATTGCTTAAGCTATGGGTTAAGATCTCATCAACCTTTCGAATAGGATTTGGTGGTCTCTTGGATTTATGATTCCTAGGTTCATTATCAAGCATGACACAAAAGGATAAAGTTGTGATTTCTTTAAGGAAATGGTCATGTTGCCCATTCAATTACTTGTTGCTTGCAAATTGATTTGGTTTCATTAGGATGAAATATTCATTCAAGTGTGTCATTTAAAAAAAAAAAAAAAGTATGATTCAAGGTCCCAATTCATTTAGGTGGATTTTTCTGCGAGTTGGTTATCAAATTCGAAATTGCACTGAGCATGTGTTACTTACTTGTCCGAGCTAAGCTGAAACCATTTCAAAATTGCTTTGCACTCCAGCATGAACCCGGCGGGCTGCACTCAAAAGAATCAGGGAAAATTATTAAGTCAGGAAAAAGAGTAAAATCAGAGGAAGTGAGAACCCAGAATAAAAAGAGAAATCTCAGAAATTAGAAACGGAGAAAAATCTCAGGAAATTCAACAGCTCAACAAAACTGAGATTCAATCCTCATCCTTTATTTTCTCTAACAAACTCAGGAATCAAGGGCTAAAATTTAATTTTCCTGTAACAAACTTTGGGGGGAGATATATAACTAAATTCATTCCAGAAAACTCTAGAAAACTCAGAAAATTACCTCCATTTTCTCTCTGCTTGATCTTCACCATCAAGATGTAAATACTTTTCTGCAACGATTCTTGAGGATTCTCTCTAATCTCCATCATCATCTCCTTCAATCTTCCGCAACTTCAACATGAACAGAAGAACATTCATCATCACTCTTCACTACTGAACACGCGCACAAAACTCATTTGCTTCTACAAATTCTCAACCCCTCTCTCTCTCTCAGAAACTCGCCATCATTCTTCACCAAAATCTGTAACAACTTTTCACCAGATTCTTCTTCAATCTTCTGCAATGTCTCCTCGTTCATCTTTAACCTTCTACACAGCAACAATCACTACATCATCACCAGAAGAACGCAACTATAATAACAACGCAACAATCAGAAATTTGAGGATAAAAATGCACGCAAAAAGAAGAGGAAAGAAGCAAATCGATAAGATGCATACCTGAATCGAAATCGAAGAAGCGCCAGACTTTGTTTCCGGTAGGTAAGATCAGTTGCCTTCTTTTTCTTCCACATTTTCGCACGTTTTCTGAGTTTTTGATATTGAAGCCGAAACTAGTGAATTGAAATGCCGCGCTGGTGATACGAACTCGGAGATGAGACGATGAAGCCGGAAGAAGCCGCGAAGGATGGTGAAGGAGATTATGTATGGTTATGGTGGACGGACGGTGGCCACAGCGGCAGATTGGAGAGGACGATTGAGTTGTGCGACGCTGCTATGTTGAAGAGGAAGAGAGAGTCTTTGTGCATCGTAAACACTGCGTTGCCAATTTTTCTTTTTCTTTTTTCCATTTAATTGTTTTCAACTTTAATTAAATAGATTATAAAAAAGGTGAATGAAAATCTGATGCATATTGGACGGAAAATATCCCTTGCCAGATGCTAATGTTTTTTTGGAGCTTGCAGCTTGAAAAAAAAAATATTCCATGGACCTAACTGTTTGGGCTCAGCGCCAGGGAGGCTTTGCCATAACAGATGTTCCGAATTGTCACCCCCCTTCTGAGCTCAATGACTTGTTTTTTTGGCTGAATTGAGTAGTTGTTTTTGACATGTGTTGGTAGACTGGGCCTGAATCTGAAATTGCTACAAAAAAAACACTTGTGATCCAGCTTACACCCCATAACTTATTTTAGTGTATTTTTGTTTTTTTTATTGACTTTGTTAATTGTTTAGAATTGTTTGATTTTCTTTACATGATAAAAATGACAAATAAATATTAGACTAAACTTTTAATTCTATTAGTTTTGGTTCGATAATTGTGTGATATTTCCATGATCCCGTTAGGAAACTCCAAGCATGATAACAATTAGGTAGAATTTCTTTTATCCTGATTTTAGGACCATCATTACATGACAACACTGGGATTCGAGTCTCCTTTAGTTTTTTCTTTCTTTTGCATCTTATAAAACAAACAAAAAAATCTTATCAAAAATCTCAAAAACACTTAATAAATATGATGTGTGCAAATACGTCACGAGTCTTAAGCACGTGCGAAGTACTTTGGATACGAGGCGTCCGGTTCGATCATCTAAAAGTCTCTCATGTCATAGACTTTAGTATTGCACCTATCTCAAACACTTTCATAAATAAAGGTGGAGTATTGAGATACCTCCGTTCTTGGAGGACCATCTGAGGTATTATTCGAACAAAAACACTCAACTAATTCAAACTTTTTCCTCTCAGGCCTTTCTTTTAAGAAAACCTTTTTAGGTAAGAAGATGCTAATTCCTTTCTACGACAATCGCGTGAGTCTCCAAAGGTCGAGCGGCGGTAGAATGCGAAATTAGCATCGTTCATAAAAAATACAGACAAATAAAAACTTGAGTTGAACTATGACGCTCTGATTCCTTAAAAGGGATACGTAGGTGTGATACGGTGGCAGAACCAACTGTTATATTGGTTTGCGTTTTGTATTCACAAATATCGCGGTAAGCAAGAGTCACCACAGACCTTTCTTTTATCCAACAAAGGAAAGGGTGAAAAGATTATGGAAAGGGAAGGTGTTAGAATCCTTTCCATCCATGGTTTTCCATGGGCTCTTAGGTACTTGCTCATTTTTAAAATTGATTTCGTGTTTGTGTGAAAAAGTTTTTGTTTGAAAATGCCTTAGTGCGGCGATTCGCTTTATGATAACCCTTGTATCAGTCCTCAAGAGTGTGATAAAGCGTTTTGAAAACTTTGTTTGAAAAGTGTTTGAAAGTGTGGTGTGAAAATTTGTTTGAGCAAGTACCTAACAGTTATCTACCTACTCGAAAAAGACTGTTCTTTTCCTCCTTTCCTTTAGACCGTGTTATCCTATTATTAGTGAGTAGGTAACCCTGGTCGTTGGATGTTAAGGAACTATCGAAAGGAACGTAATGGTCATTGAAAGCAGCAGGTAGAGATATCTTAACATTCGAAGGGACTGTCATCATATAGGCAATATCGAGGGACAAGACCATTTACCGAAAGGCAACTCGAGGAACGTTTAGGGACCATGATCTTTTATGATGACTCTTATATCGCGGGTCTTTGCTAAGATATCCCTACGTTCGAGAGACATGACCAATTCCGAGGCAACCGATTGAGGAATACCCTAAAGATGCAAGTGTGAGAAGTGTATCTTTTTCAGTTATATTATCTTTAAGATTAGTGATCTACAGATTGATTGATTTATTCTTGTCATGCACGCCTAAGTTACTAACAGTAATATTGTACAAGCATACAAGGAATAAAAAAAGCGAGAAATAAAGGGTCCTACGCTATTACAGGGCTTTGGTGTAGATATATAAATAATGAACGAAAAAAAATAAAGTACAGAAATTGAAAATGCGGGAATTTAAGTCCTAAACTATTACAACTGTAAGCAGTTACAATATAAGAAAATGCGAAAACGATAAACGCGCGCGAGATAAAGATGAACGTCTAAAAACCTAAGAAACTGTTAAGTAAAAAGACTTATTTGTTTGATTTTTTTTGTTTTAATTAAGAAAAATATTAAATCAAATATCCTAAAGTCTATTTTATTTTTAATTAGAGAAAATAGTTAAGATATTTATTAGTTAACTTAAGAAATTAATTATTTAAAAAATATAATCCTAATTTGTGATTTTATTTGATTTGCTATTTATGGTGGAAACTCATTAAGAGAAAACAAAACAAAGCGAGAAGTAAAAAAATACACAAGGAGAATCCTTCGATCCAGGAAGGAGACGCCCTTCGATCTAGGAAGGAAACGTCTCCTTCAATCCAGAGGGCTATGGCTTTTGATCCAGGAAGGTTGTGGCTTTTGATCCAAGAAGGCTATGGATTTTGATCCAGGAGGACTGTGGCCCTTCGATCTGGGGTGCTGGACCTACAAATATAATGTGAGAAAAAGAAAATAATACAAAATCCTATGCTTGGATCGAAGTTGGTCCTGATTCAACAGCCTGGCTGTTTTGAAGTTATGGCCAGAACACCCTAACATAGTTTGAAAAGGGCATATCATGATTCCAGTGCCATGGGCTTCATGCTAAACTCTTGACCTGTTCTAATGATGCCTAGCAAACTCATACGTACACGTTAGAACATTCAAAAGTACACAAACATTCAAAAATACGCAAACATGAGGATTTGGATTTTAGAAGTTTTACCAAATGGGCGATGATGATGCTCCTAATCTGGGCTTGAAGCTATATGCTGAAGGGTTGGATGGAGTCCCTGGGAGCCTCAAGGGGATGTTTGAATCCTTGGTCTGGCTTAAGGGGAGGTGTGAATGAGTGTTTGAAGTTTTCGATTTGAATGATTTTTTTTGCAAGTTAGGTAGAGCTTTTGTGTGGTACTTGCGTATCTCCGTGTGTTTTTTCTCTGAGATCATGAGGTTTATATAGACAAGGGAATTTAGGTCAACATTTGTGTATCAAATCTTGGTCCATTATGATGAAGAGACTTGATTTGATTTCTTCATAAAACTTGCTATATTTGATTCAATCACGTGCCAATCTATTTTCATGCGTTACTGCCAGCCTGTTATGAGTTGTTTGGGCCTCAAATATGATGAAAATCAAAAGCTGACATGCCCCTGCAGATCCATTTTCCTCCGAGTTTGCTCTCTTCGATGGCTCTAAGCCCTAATTTAAATTACTCAGAGCTTTCCTCATCAGAGCATTGTTTTCTTTGAAAGCTCTGAACTTTAATTCGAATTGCCCCAGCTTCGATGTCATAACCCCTTCGATTGAGCCGCCCTCTCTTTGATTGCTTGATTTTAAAAGAATCACCCTGGTCGAATCAGCTCTTGTGGAGTTGTGAACAAATAAGGCAAGAATCTGGCCTTTAATTCAAAAATTTAATACATGATCAAAATTAAATTCTTGCCATATTTGCAAGGAAAACATGCCATTTTTTCATGTTCAGTGTACCTGGACAAGTTTTCGAGTGCCCTCTTGATGGCCTCT